ATTTAATCATCCATCTGTCAATTTCCCCATTATTATGCATTTCCTTGAGCATATTCTTCAGTGTCCCGTTTATCTTCGTGGTTGGATCCTTCCTTAATATTTCATAAGTATTCCGGTCGCCAAGGATACTTTCCATTTTCTCCGTGTAATGTTTCCTGTCCAGTACCACCGTCGCTCCTCCCTTATTGGCCTGAAGAACTATCTGATTATTCATTTGTAATTTTTTCCGAATACTAGCCAATTTGCTCCATTTCGTCGGTTCTTGATGTTTCAGGATCCTTGGAATTATTTCAAGTTCCATCTCCCGCCTTGTATCTTCTGGAAATTTATCCGTTACGTTGACAACTTCCACCAGGATATCACTAATAACATTTTTTTCATTACCTTTTGTCTTATTATTCTGCTCTCTGGGTTTAATTTTTTTTATTCCATTCTTGTTGGTTCCATATTTCTATTTTTTGAAATCAAACCTGGATTTATTCTTAACCTTTTGTTCTCTTTATCACCTATCCTATTTTTCTTTTTCACAAAAGACTTTTCATGCATGCCGTTTTATCATTGCTGTCTGCGTCCATCACTCTTAGTCTTAGTGAAAATATTTCTCTTCTTTCACACGACGCTTAATACCTCCAGCAACTAACTATCTTTAACGCAATTTTTTGTTAACGTGCTTATTGTCAGAATTTATTTTTATTTGTCTCTGATTTTCTTCATTTTATTCACACACATGTATCTGTTAGCCTAAGAACTATACTTTTACCTGGCTTGAGGTGTATTGCACAGTCTGCACGTATATCTTTCCCCGTTATTAGTTTTCTCTTAGCCCTATTAATATAAGCAACTATTATATTCTTTTAGCTATTTAAATATCGTCGATAATTATCTGTGTTTAATGAACGAAAAGCAACAGGATTTTGAAGAATCTCCCGAGATAACATTGTTGTGTATACTTTCGTTTCGTATGCAAGTGCATGAAGTAGAGATTCGTACGTTTATATCTCCATAAGACGATGACTCTTCCATTATATTGCAATCTTTTGGCTTTAATACGCCATTTAGGTTGACACAGTCCACGAGGCATCCTATCTCGTTTCGAGTAATTCCGGAATTCAAGAAGACCTTCCAGCTCTATTTTACTTCATATGTCCATAATTAAAAGAGCAAAAATATACATACAGAGCTTGATATAGAATGGCTTGGCTAATTATCTCTCTTATTGGTCATAGTAATTTTATTTGATTCTGTGTGTATTAACGTCTACGCAAAATGGTATCAAATCATAATGATTAAACGGCCGTATTCGTAAGATGATGAGGAGAATACGAAAATGCTTGCTAAGACTGTCGGATTCAACGGTCAGAAATGGCCGGATAGGAGATAGAATGGTCTCAAACGAGTAGTTTGCTGACAATGGTACTTCTGAGGTTAAACGAAAGAAAAGTGAGGCTATTGAAATTAATAGATTAGGGAATACATTGAATGTGAGGAACTGGTGGAAAGTTGATTAAGATTTATTTTTGCTTGATTTAAAGATTAAAGAAGAGGGTTGATGTTGAGCTGCAATTCAAAAGAAGGGGACTCAACTTGTCCGCTTATTGATGGGCGAAAGCTTGGTCCG